TATTTTATGTGCTGTACAATTCTTGTATGATGATATCTTTGAAAACCCCCTGGGCTTCTATAGAATGATGCACACCCATTTCCACCCAAAAACTTTCATAAAAGCCCCAAATAGCAAAATCTAATTGAAGTATGCTGACTTGAATCAGTGAATGAAAATACAACATTCTCGTTCTGGACCTGGTACTGCGGCCACTTCTGGCCTATTGTACCAGTCCCAGATGATAGGTAAGGGTGATTGTGGAGCAATTGGTGGAATGAAGATTGGCAGGGGAAACCGTAGTAATCAGAGAAAACCTGCCCCAGCGCCACTTTGTCCACCAAAATCCCATCTGACCAGACCTGGGATTGAGCACGGGCTGTCGCAGTGGGAAGCGAGCAACTAACCGCTCAAGCTATGGTGCAGCTGAGCTTGTAGCTTAGTGACCATACACCTGCATCCTATTTCATGTACTTAATATTGTGTATGCCTAAAAACTTTGGTTCTGATTTATAGGCAATATCTATATCAACAAATTTCATTTGAGGTTCTTCCTTGCCTAGTATGAAAAGGCACTGCTGTTGTTTTCCCAGTGCTCAGTATAGCACATTTGCATAAAACTATGAATGGAACTCAATCATAACCTTATTTATTTTTTGTTGGAGGATCTGCCCATTTTCTGCTGCTATTAAATGTCTGTATCATCTGCAACTAAAACCATTTTTGTCTCTTTGATATTAACTGGCGGGCAATTTATGCATAATAAAAATAATAATAACCATGTAGCACACCATTTTTAACTTCTTTTGGTGCTAAAATATGTTTTTTGCTGAACTGTGCTTTCATTATCATTACAGTTTATTTCAACAACTTATGTGCTAAGTATTGTCATGTATGAGTGACTACAGAAAAGGTTTTGATTGATGACTCAATTTACTGACCACTTACACAACTCGTGACTACACTTTACAGATCACTGTCACACACAGACTAGTGTCTTCAGTCTATTACAATCTCCACTAGCCGTTGCTTGGTAATGGCTTTCAGTGGTGGATGTTCCCCTTACTCTTGGTTCTCAAACTATCCCCATGCCTCAGCTACCAGTTTCTAATATCAATGGCTCACAATCGACTGAAACGCAGTTCTCTGACTAACTCCTAGGCTGGCAATCATCTCACAGACTGACTAACTGAACTCTCAACTAACTGTCCTGGTTACAATATCTCAGCATGGACTGTGTTGAAAAGGCCGTTCCTCTGTGGTAACTCAGTTGTTGCTTATTAAGAATCTGCAGCCTAGCTACAGCTGTTGTCTCGTTACTTGTTTCACAGTTGTTGCCTAGCAATGGATCTATATGCCACATGATGATTGATACAATGATTACACGATGCCTCTAACTCCATATGAATTTAATCTGGCAAGTAAAACACCATGATTTATATCATCATATGATTTAGTTTCTGATGATATGAATCTACTGGGTGATAATACACATACCATAAACGTAAAGAGAAACACACAAACTTTAACTGACGCAAGTAAGGGGGTTGGTCTAGAAGTAAACACAAAGAAAACTAAGTATATGTTGCTATCTCATCACCAAAATGCAGTGCAAAATCATGACATAAAGATAGGTAGCAGATGTTTGAGAATGTGGCACAGTTCAGACATTTTGGAACGACGATAACAAATCAAAATCTGATTCAAGAGGAAATTAAGAGGAGACTGAACTCAGATAATGCTTTGAGAATGTGGCAGTGTTCAGACATTTTGGAACGACGATAACAAATCAAAATCTGATTCAGGAGGAAATTAAGAGGAGACTGAACTCAGATAATGCTTGCTATCATTCAGTTCAGAACCCTTTGTCTTGTCTCCTGTCTAAAAACATAAAAATTAGATATACAAAACTATAATTTTGCCTGTGGTTTTGTATGTGTGTGAAACCTGGTCTCTGACTTTAATGGAGGAACATAGACTGAGGGTGTTTGAGAACAAGCTGCTGAGGAGAATATTTGGACCAAAGAGAAATGAGGTGAGAGGAGGTTGGAGAAAACTGCATAATGAGGAGCTTCATAACTTGTACGCTTCTACAAGCATAATTAGAATGAACAAGTCAGGGAGGATGAGATGGGCAGGGCATGCAGCGTGAATGGGGAAGAGGAGGAATGCATATAGGACATTTGTGGGAAAGCTCGAAGGAAGGAGACCACTGGGAAGACCAAGATGTAGGTGGGTGGACAATATTAAAATGGTTCTTAGAGAGACAGGATTGGATGGTATGGATTGGATTGATCTGGCTCAGGATAGGGGCCAGTGGAGGGCTATTGTGAATACGGTAATGAACCTTCGGGTTCCATAAAATCCTGAGAGTTCTTGAGTGGCTGCACAATTGGCAGATTCTCAAGAAGGGCTCAACTCCATGAGTGAGTAATGATTTAATTAAATCACGAAATATTCCAATTCGGTTTTCTTTTTCTTTCAATGGATTTCTGCATTCTTTCAAGAAAGGAGTGCATAGCTGTCTCAGTTGACCTATTCTTCCTGACCCCATGTTCAAGTTCTGTTAATACCTTTACAGTATTATGTGAAGAGCACAAAATGAGAAATAATTTCTCATTATATTATCTCTCCTGTATAAAATCACATACTCCTCTTTGCACTTCAAACATATTTAGTTTATTTTTTGTGACCCTCACTACTACTACTACCTCAGCTGCTGCAAAAGAGTGAGTGGCAAATTCAAATTTTTGTATCGAAGCAATTTCAGTTTTAAGATTTAAGCAGAACATTTTCACCATATCATTTTATTCAGCTTATGGTAGAAGTTAACTCTGGTCCTGTAAAGTGCATTATTTTGCAGTTTGCCTGTTGTAAAACCACCTGCAAAGGCTGCATGGCAGGTATAATATTATTCTAATTAAAACAATCTCTTTAAATCATTAATCTCGACCACAAACTCCTTATATGGTAAAGATAAACATCAAATTTAAACATAATCACTTGATCTTACTGAACTACATTAATGATCCCAAAATGGAAATTGTACCATAAAACTCATAAAAAGTTACTCCTGTAATGTGATATTATAAAAAATGATCTGATTCATAATTCCTACAATATCAATTTAACTCTATAACAAATTCTACAAAATTTAAGTTTATCTTGTAAGTATATACTGTAGAAGATGTACACACTATTAAGCTGTGTACTATAATCAACTGGCAACATTTAAAACTTTCTAAAATTCTGATATTTATTCAGTACAATAGTAAGATATTTCTGTAAAGATTCCAAAAGTTTGATTTAAATGCATACATGATCTTAAATTTAAAATTCTATGGCTAAATTAAGTACTAGAATGAAGCTTGTTAATACATTCACACCATTTGCATGCAGTCAGAAAGAGATGGAAGATGCAAATTGTCATCTTTACACACTCAAATGGACTGTGGGATCACCCTGTTGAGTTAAATCACACCAATAACCAACCATTCACAGAGCATATAAGAAGAACACATTTCATCCCATATGGGCCAGCCATAAGAACGAACTTCCATTAAATTATTTATAACACTGTACCTTGACATTCTTGTTAGGTGACAGAGACATAAGGAAAAGCATTATATTCTAAGCATGAACTGAACATAGTTGATGCTAGAAAGCTGAGAGGCTATAGGAATTTTGAACAATTTATTTATTTATGATACCTCGCAATTTTCAAATGTCTTCTCTTCAGGTTCATTTATTTCTTCCAATATTTGTACACATCAACAGAACGATCTTTGAGTTTTCTCTGTGTGTGTGTGTGTGTGTCTATAAACTCAAGGCACTGAGCATTTAAATTTCCAGTATTTGTATTTCAAATTGTCCTTCATATACCAAATGTGTATGATAAAAAGTAGTATTCACTTCAATGATTTATACATATATTTTTATCAAGCATTTCACATTGAGCATCCTGATTTTTTAATTTATGATGTAATGAAGCATCATGATATACTTCTTACATTACACATGTATTTATTCTTAAAGCATTTTGGCCCATGTAAATTTCAATACAGTGAAACTTCATTAAACAAGATTTGACTGAAATTTCAATCCATCTAAATGTCCTTTAATAAACTTAATATAGACCTACACACAAAATGATAGGGCAGAATGAAGCCACACATAGTTTTCAGAGTATGCATAGCTGGTAAAAATAAAGTTGTCTAGTGATCAAGCACCATGACATAAACACACACACGGTAGTGGAGGTGAAATTTCACACATTCTTGATACTGACACTTAATGAGATGGGAAATAATTTTCAGAGTCTAGCCACTTTGGCCTCAGTGAGCATGAAACTGGTCCCCAGTGTTGACCTGAACATGAAGGCAGAAAGCAAAATCATCTGTTCTTTCAACGAACTGGATCCAAACTATTCAAGTTATGTATAACTAGGAAACGCTAACCTTTCTCATCCATGCATCTCACAACTGTGCCAGTGTATGCACTGATTATGCAGGCATATCACCATATTCTCTATAATATACATGTAACTACTGCCAAACTCAAAACCTGGCCACCAGCACCAGATTAGTGGGAGACTAAAATCTGGCCAGTAAAGGTTAAAACACTGGGAAAGCATAGTATCCTTATACCATTTCACTTTCAGCATTCCAGTATAAATCAAATGCCCTGCAGATTTCATGTTTCATTCAAATTTTGTGATTTAGCACCATATTCAAGAACACCAAAGTGCTTCAGATCTAGAGGGGCAAAGGCCAGCTCTAAGCATTGGAAGAATATGTAAGCAGGCAAAATGTTAGGGATACAACCACCTTCTGAACCCGCTTACTCTGGCGTCCCTGATCACACCAAATCAGAAATCTGTATCTTTATCCTTGTTTGTTTGTTTGTTTGTGTGTATGTGTGTGTGTGTGTGTGTGTGTGTGTGCGCGCATGTGCGTACACACACACACACACACACAAAGAAGGCTGCATGCAATATTATGAACTACAATGGTGGGACTCACTTGGCCATGAATGGGACATGTATCGCCTCCTTGTACAGTTCGGTGGCCATCTTCGTTGCATCCCCAATATTGCGGCAGTCCATTAGCCAGAAGCGTGCGGATACCGTGGTTGTGAAGGAGACACAGTCGTTGACAAATGTGAGGGGTGTAGATCCTGTGACATCCTCCCATTGGGCACGTGTTGTACCACCTGACACCACCATATGGCACACACATAGTTAGAAACATGAGAAACAGTAACTTGACATAATCACATCTTGAATTTGTTCTAAACAAACACAGTCATGCTGTGCTAGAGAATTTACAAGATGCATGGTTCCTTTCTAAGATGGCAACATCAATAGGTCATGCAATGGAAACATTCTGTGGTCCCTCATTGTGCCCTAAGATGCAACAATTAACAGGTAACAAAATATGGTAATGTTTATTCATGTGCAACTACATTCAGTTTCAAAAATATAAACACCAAACAATGAATGTCTCAATAACAGCCACAACCTATGACAACCATTTTATATTTCCACCCTGTCCTGCATTTGTTCTCCTCCAAAATCTCGCTTTCCTCACTTATTAAACAAGCAAGTTAAGAATTACAACATCACTAATATTTTACACCTACAAGAAAGTTGTACCCTAAATGACAATTTATTTTCAACAGACTGTTGATAATGTTACAGCCTGAAAGGAACTGTTCTGATACATATCGGTTTTTATGATATAAAATCAATTAAATTATAAGCACTATCTTCATTATGAAATTTCTTGGTGAAAATGTACTTCATTCTTCCACTCCATTATACAAATTGGCTCTATCTTTAGCTATCTATGCATAACAATGTGAATAAAACTTTATATCATGTGAAGGCTAAAATGAATGAAAAAATACTGCTCAAGGAGATTCCTGAATCAACAGTCTAAAATGTATGACTGTATAACTCAGTGTAGTATTTCTGACCACTTTAATAACTTACACATTCAACAATTAAATAGAAGATTGAACTGTAGGACATAAAATTACGTTAATTATAGCCAGTAAGAATAATGACTTTAAAAAAAAGTGAACACTACAAACTAATATACAGTATGTTAGAGACAAGCATCAGCACTTCCTTAACAATCAGTACACTCACCAATGTAACATATTCTTTTTACAGCTGTACTGGCTTTGAGTGTCATTTAAGGAGAAGTCATTTTCCTGTGATTATGAAGCAAGTCATGCAATGTCATGCACTTCTCTCTGTCCAGCACAAAGAGAATATAAATACGAGCTGTTACAATTTGTTAAAGTGAATGAAGATATAGTTTTATGGTTACAAAGATTCAAAGAATGAGCTCTGTACATCCTCCAATCCCAAATATAAAGTGACAACACCACATACAATGGTAAGCTGCATATAATAATGAATCAGTTTGAGACAAAACAAGGGAAAAAAATATTGGAATTAAAACTTTAATATACGAGTAATACCCTATGTAAATATATGTGGCATATAATGGGTAAGATGCATATACTGAAGCCTTTCTTGTTCTAATTTCAGTATCATTTTAATTTGGGGCTGAGCCATAGCTCAAGCAGTTAGTCGTTGGCTTCCCACCATGGCGGCCCATGTTCAATCCCAGGTCTGGTCAAGTGGGATTGGTGGTGGACAAAGTGGCGCTGGGGCAGGTTTTTTCTGAGTACTTTATTTTCCCCTGCCAATCTTAATTCCACCAATTGCTCCACAATCACCCTCACTTATCATCTGGGGCTGGTACAATAGGCCAGAAGTGGCCGCAGTACAAGAGACTTAGTCCCACCCCACTAGCAATAAAAGAAAATTGTTTTAATTTTATAAAATGAGGGTCTGATGATCAAGACATGTTAATATAACCACTATCTGGTGTGGAGGAAATGTCACTGCAATGTTTAAATTAATTTCAGGTCAGCACTTTAAAGTTTTACTTTCTTTCCATTCCTTGATGAATAGATACATCTAAGTACAGTATTATATTTAAGCATCCTGTTGTACTCTATAAGATAAATGATATGAACTCCGTCCCAAGTGCAAACAATATATTATATGTCCTTGATCTTGCTCTCCTTTACACTACATGTTTCGGCCTCAAACGGCCATCATGAGGTGTATACACTCACGTTGCTGTTACACTGCACTTAGTTTAAAATTTAGTTGAAATGACTCTAAATAAATCAACAGAGTGATGATGAAGAACATATTTTATCCAGTTTTCATAAGATATCATATGCTGTCAATTTTCAGACAGTCTTGCCTACTTTCCTTTTATTGTGTGTGTGTGTGTGTGTGTGCGCACGTGCGCACGTGCAGATGCGTGTGCATGGTGCATGCGCACATGTGTCTGTCTGTCTGTCTGTCCATCCTTACTTATGATATCTCAAGATATTGGAAGTTACCTCACCTTTATAATTTCTTTGTACCTGACATCAGTTACACTAGCATGATGTTAATGCAAACTGAAATGAACTTTACACTAGCACCACTGGCTATATATTCATATGTTTCTTTCTGTGAGAAAGTATTTTCTAAAAGTACTCAAATGTAACTTTTCTTAGAGTAAATTTGTAGAAAGTAAAATAACAATAAGACTCTTACAAAGCCTACATTTAGCATTCTATGTGATGGTAATAACTGATGAACCATTAGAGCTATGAGTAGTAAATCTGATATGGTGACAAACAATAAATACCGCTACATATCTGGAGCTAAATTCTGAGCTCATACCTGACGTTCATGTAGAGGAATCTATATCGGTGGACATGATGGACAGAAATACACCATGGAGTTACATAATTGTGCTAGTCTCTATCCATACATATGTGAACATTTAAAGGAAACAATGTATCATAAGTCATGTGAAGAACTGTTAAATTAAAATGTCAACATCTTATTCCATCAATTATTCACCTCACTAAATTTAATGTTGTAATGTTTGTTTTTCTCAATTGATTATTTAATGTTTCTGTCAGTACTGAGACTATACAGCATCAGTAAAATTCTTTTTGCTTCAGCACTGAAGCACCTGAGATTACGTATTATTTCAAAAGCTTTTATAGAATATATTATTCAGTACACACACCTAGTAGAATAGTTGAAACAATGCACACTTACTTTCTAAACTAACAAATTATTAAATCTATTAGTTTTGATACTTTCAATGTAATGTCCTCATTGTCTGATTCATTCATAGGTTTCTCAAGCTGCATTAACTGAAAGGTCATTTAGCAGCTAATGAAACTCAAGAAGACTGGTCGGGAAACAAGTGTACCCCATGATGATGATGATGATGATGATGATGATGATCTTTGATGTTGTTGTTGTTGTTGTTGTTGTTGCTGCTTGCTGCTGCTTCCACCTTCCATCCAGAGGGTTCAAGAACCTGGAATCTTGTTAGACTGCAAACTTTATTTTCACAGTCATGCTGATCACATTTTTTTTTACAGTGATTATAATGTTAGGTTCGATTCATTATACTTTCCTTTTCTACTATCAGTAGTCTTATGATCTTGTATAATGCTGCTCAATGTGAACTCCAGTATACTTCTGTCACTTGGAACTCCATCATTACATTACATTACATTACATTACATTACATTACATTGCATTCCATGGATCCAAAGTTAGTGAAAATGACTGAAGGATGTGGAATATGTCATATAAATACAAAACATATGTACAGTCCCAATGGAGATCTCACACAAGAGAAACCAAGAATACAGAGTGACTACACACAAGGCTATTTAAAGATACATAAGTTATTTTCTAGACAATAAGTATTCATCATCAGAGTAGAATGAATGTGTATTTAAGTATCGTTTCAGTACTATTTTAAATCATGCCTTTTCATTCATAAGACCTTTGAGATCAGATGGCAGGTTATTAAAAATTTTAATCCCAGCATAATATGCGCTTTTCTGAAAGCATGAGAGGTTAGCAATTGGTTTATGAAGACAGTATTTGTGTCTTGTGTTAACACTGTACATCTGCATTCATTTGAAAATGTTCATTATTTGTAATGAAGTTTATTAATGAATATATAATTCACATGGCAAAGTTAAGATCTGTAGTCTCTTAAACAGATCTCCACAGGAATTACGCGTTTTGACACCCATCATGATTCTAGCAGTCTTCTTTTGCAATGTAAATACCTTTTTACTGTCAAATAAATTACACCAGAAAATTATTCCATACTCCATTAAAGAGTGAAAGTAAGCAAAATAGACTGATTTGAGAGTGTCAATGTTATTAATATGTAACATGAATATAACTGCATAACACGCTCTACATAGCTTTGGAATCAACTGATCTATGTGGCTTTTCAGTTTAAATGATTATCAATTTGCAAGCAAAGTAATTTTGTGTTTACTCCCTCTTCTATATATTTATCATTATATCCTATGTTTAATGGATATTGTGGTGAGTTCTTTGTTACAAATTTTATTACATTTGTTTTTTCTAGGTTCAGGGACAGCTTGTTTGCAGAAAACCATTTACTCATTTGCAAAAGAACCTTGCTTGATAACATGCAGAAATCATCTAAATTTTTACCAGAAATTATAACACTAGTGTCATCTGCAAATATTATAGGTATTGATGAGGTGCTTAGTGTAGGAGGGAGGTCGTTTATATAAATTATGAAAAGCAAAGGCCTTAAAATTGACCCTTGTGGAACTCCATGTTTTATTTTTCCCAAGTTTGAGTAGGTACTTTGGATTGAATTTGATGATTTTATTTCAATTTTTGTTTTCTACCTGTTAGGTAGGATCTGAACCAACTTAACATTGTGTCTTGAATGCCAAAAATATGTAATTTAGTTAATAAAATTTCATGATTTACACAGTCAAAAGTCTTTGCCAAGTCACAAAATATTTCACCCACATGCATTTTTTTATTAATAGATTTCAACACACTGTCTGTTAACTTAAAGGCTGCATTTTCAATGGAAATTCCTTTCCTAAAGCCAAACTGTTCTGGGACTAGTATTTTGTTACTCTGAAAATAATGGCTTAACCTATTGTGCATAACTTTTTCAGGTTCTAATCAAATTCTAATCATTCGGGCAAAAAGATTTCAAGAATGATGTATTTAATGATGTGACTTGTTCAAGTGTTACTGTTGTAGCAATTATGAATGCCAAATAAAATGTAATTAAGTACTTTAGAGAAAGTAGTTAACA